TTTGCAATTATATCGATCTTCTCTCGGGATATCCTTTTTTAATGTTTGGTAAGTTTTTTTTTCTTTTAATTTAATTTGGGAAATGTGGGAAGTATGGCTACTGGCAATCATCTACTTAGTGTTATGGAATTTTGCAAGTAGTTTTTAAGACTTTCTAGTCGCGGCAACAGCGGGCGGCGAACAAGGCGAGATCCGGGAAATTACCGATTTCCCCCGGCGGCTCTCAAAATGTCGCAATTTATTTTTAAAACTTTCAAAGTTAAATAACTCGGTTATTTTCAATTTATTTTAAAAATAGTAAAGAGAAAATATGTTTCTTTTGACTAGATCTCTACCACCCCTTAAAATATTTGCACTCATTTCTGGGACACCCTGTATATGAAATTTAATGCCCAAGATTTAGATTTATATAAACAACTAGGTATGATATTTTCTCTGATAATCAAAGAGGTAAGTAATGAGAATGATATAATTTGCTGTCGAGCTCAATTTTCAATCACTTCAAACCTGTATCCTAGCGCATATTCAAATAAAACGAAGACAGGCCATTGGAATTTCGGTTTTAATGCTAGGATTTATTAACAACTGTAATGTTTGAAAATACCACAATTTTAAGATCAGGCGAGATATAAAATAACGGTTTAATCATATGAATCGGTGATTGGCTTATACGAGATTTTGTTATTCCGTTTTAAACACGTTTGTTTCATGTTTATAAATATAAAGTGACTAAAAAAATTAAAAAAGTGGCATCACAGTAAGGTTTACGTTTATATCACAACCCTGGTATGCCAGTTATTAAAAGCAATTAAAAATTTTCTAAAAATTTATATAGAGTGCTCCAAAAAAGTTCGTATTAATGTTCGTTAAATTTTGGAAATGCAGGATGTAGAAGTTTCATTTTTATTTCGATTTTTTCCAAATAATTTCTGAAGTGACGTCAATATTCGGATGAAAATTGGTGTCTGGGAGTTTTTTGACATGAGAAATTTGGATTTTGATGTCAATATGAATCCGACTTGTAGAGGGCGTCACCTACATTTTTTTACTGGTTTGAAGAGTAATGACTTTTAGTCCATACCTGTATGAAACTAGCGAGTAAAAAATTATACATCTACGACGTTCTCTACGTAAAATAGGTCTCGTGGTAAAAATCGCTACGACTAATGGTTCTCGAGATATTTGAAATCTGAATTATGAATACCTGTCATCATCGACATAAATTAAACATGTTGACTAAATAGTTATTCGACTGAAATCATAAATTTGAAATGATTTTGTGTCAAAAGTTTAACAGAAACTGTTTTTTCATTTTCGAAGAATAATTTATGATTAATTTAAAAAGTTCCCAAATTTATCATATCAGTCAAATAACTATCCTACTGAAATGTTTCTTTTTGTCAATAATGACATGTATTGACTATTTCTATTCTAAATATTTTGAAAACGGTTGCCCGTAGCGATTTTTACAAAGATACATTTTTTAAGTAAAAAGTCACGGAAATATATAAAAAAACGTCATAAATGTATATTTTCTAACTCAGTAGTTTTATACAAGTGAGGACGAAAAGTTATTACTCTTCAAAATAGTTAAAACACATGTAGGTGGCGCCCCCTACAAATAGGAGTCATATTGACATTAAAATCAAATTTCTTATGTTAAAAACACTTCCAGACACCAGTTTTCATTCCAATTATTGACATTACTACAGAAATTATTAGGAAAAAAATCGAAATTTAAATGAAACTTCAACATCCTCTATATCCGAAACTAAGCATTTTAGGACATACATTTATACGAACTTTTGTACTTATTTTTATCTGCAGAATATGCTGCCGAAGTTTCCGGAATACACTTCGCATCTGGAATGTTTAAAATTGTTTAAAAATTGATTTATGACATTTGAAAAAAATAGCATGTTCTATTCGGAGTAAAAACGACTTTTTGTGTCTCGCCTGTAATGTTACCGTACGTTTAAATCCTGACAATATACAGGGTGGCGCACCTCATTCGCCTCGGTTGATTATACGAAAACGGAAAGATGTAGAAATAAAATATTTTATGAGTATATGTGGGGAGATAATGTACACAATTTAAAATTATTTTGAAATATACAGGGTGTTTCAGAACTAAGATCCATACCAAAGTTATATTTTTTCCGAGATTTTTTCTTATGGAACACCCGGTATTTTATTTCATTTTTGGATTCTTATGCCCAAAAAAGGCATTTATTATAAGGGTTAAATATGTTTAAAATCTTTGGTTTTTGAGATATTTAAACATATTTAAATATGCATGCTACAATAGAATAGATTATTAACACCATGTACAGGGTGGGTCAAATTCGACGCTTTTAAATGGAAACACCCTTCTCTATAGGAGATAGATAAAAACTAATATCGGTGTCTGCAGCTCAATTTTTGTCAAAAACATGATGGTGAAAACCGATATCTGTTACCGTTTCGGAGTTACGGGGTGTTTTTCAAAAATATGCATTTTTAACAAATCGCTGTAACTTTTTTGCTATGGAAAATTTTGTATTTTTATGAAAACATTTCCAAAGCACCTTTTTAAGTAGAATTTAATGGTTTAAGTATAATTTTTTTAAAATTAATAATTTAAGAATTATCAACAGAAAATTTGATTTTTTATATGGGACACCCTGTATATTTAAAATTACCTTTCGAAAAATATAACACACTTGATATTTTGCTCAATTCCTGATAGAGTATATAAAAATTCGCCGGCTTTAAATAAGTAGGCTTTGAACGGCACTTTGAATGCAAACAAATTCTAGCTGTGAGCATCAATTAAAACGAAAATAATATTTGCTATGAGAGATGCAGAATTTTATAACAATTTAAAATATATTTAACTAACATCAACACATTTAAACTATATCTAATAACAATAATAATAAATAGCAAACCAAGGCATGAGATTTTGCTACAGGTGTTCGACATATTGACCGTCTTCTGTTGTGGACAGACGGGGCAGTTTTTGAACATTTCTCGAGAAATTCATTAACTCAGTGGGGGTGAAAGATACCCTCTCATAACTGCTAAGTATTTTTAATTCTTGTCTAGATTATACGGAAGAATAAGGAACCTTTATTCTTCCGCAAATATATCCATAGGATTAGATCCATGGGCACTAAGTCAGGCGGCCTCGGCGGCTAACGGCTGGGATCTTGGTTAGCTATCCAATTATTCTTGAAATTGGCTGCAAAAATTTGCTGATAACTTCAGCGTCCAGAGGCGGTGCGTCGTCTTGCTGGAAAAATATGTTTTCGAGTTCCATTAAGGGCTTATTATCAATAAGGGGTCCAAAGCCTACTAGTTAAAAGTGGCGAACTTTTAAAAATTCTGTATTTCGAAGGGGATTATGACAAAATATTAAGTGTGCTATATTTTTGGAAAGGTAATTTTAAAATCTTTTCAGTTAATTAAAAATATAGAGGGTGTCCCAAATAAAAAATAATTTTTTTTGTTGATAACTCTTAAATTATTAATTTTAAAAGAATTATACTTAAACCATTAAATCCTACGTAAAAAGGTGCTTTGGAAATGTTTTCATAGAAATACAAAATTTTCCATAGCAAAAAGGTTACAGCGATTAGTTAAAAATGCACATTTTTGAAAAACACCCCGTAACTCCGAAACGGTAACACATATTGATGTGCGGTTTTCACCATCATGTTTTTGATGAAAATTGAGCTCCAGACACCGATATTAGTTTTCGTCTATCTCCTATAGAAAAGGGTGTTTCCATTTAAAAGCGTCGAATTTGACCCACCCTGTACATTACTAATTTACCTACAATAGTTGCATAAATAATATTTATTAAATATGTATTTATTATTCTGTCAAGAAAAACGAAGAAGTAGTTCTTTGATTTATTTTACGATGACTTGTAGATAATGGATTTTCTATAAAAGAGCCAATTACGGCAAATTCATTTTCTTCACTTCCAACGACAGGTTTCTGTCTAATAGGTTTTTTATAAACCACACTACCAGCTCTGCGAAATAGGACAAGTACTTTGTCAAAGAAACGCTTATCAGGAAGATTTCTATTTGGATATCTTTGAGCATAAGCCTTGAGACCAAGAAGCAAATTTTCCTCACAAAATAAATTCACTAGTCACATATCTATTCGTTCCGCCAGCAGATACTGCTTTATTTTTGTTGATAAAATAATAAATTATTAAACTATTGTAGGTAAATTTAAGTAAACTGTTATAAATTATAAATAATAATGTCCATAAACTTATGTCGACTTTGAAAATAGTTACTAACTGTCACTAGAAAATTGCCTTCGCGACACCAGCCATCTTGATTGCAATTTTATTTAAAAATCGCTTTTTATTCAAAATTTGAGCTAGGATAGGTATAGGAAACCCTAATATAGTTTGAAAGAGCATTAGAATCTGCTTCGATCAATTTTAAAAAATATAGGGTGTTGCATTTGAAATAACGAAGCTTTTATATAAAATACATCCTTAAAATAGATCAGCAACTTTTGATAGCCCTGTATAAACTTAAGGAAGCAATACCATTTTTCAGCAAAGTTTATTTCTCTATCTTTAAACTCAGCATAAGAATTAATTCTGAAAAGTAATGTACAGGGTGTTAATAATCTATTCTATTGTAGCATGCAAATTTAAATATCTTTAAATATCTCAAAAACCAAAGATTTTAGATATATTTAACCCTTATAATAAATGCCTTATTTTGGGCCCAAGAATCCAAAAATGCAATAAAATACCGGATGTTCGATAAGAAAAAATATAACTTTGGTATGGATTTTAGTTCTGAAATATCCTGTATATTTCAAAATAATTTTAAATTGTGCACATTGTCTCCCCGTATATACCCATAAAATATTTTGATTAATCATCCATCCATTTTCGTATAATCAACCGAGGCGAATGAGATGCGCCACCCTGTATACAATAATTCTGCCACCCGTATTTTCAATTTTGACACATGTTAGTTTTCTATGTAATTTCGCATATCAGGTGATACTATTAAAGCTCTAAATCGTTATTAGGAAACCTCTCAAGGACAAATCTTATTAGTTCTCGTCTCGCAAGTAGGATTTTCTTCCTGTCTGCCACGAAAAACGTTACGATACGTACCGCAAATAATAATAATAGTAATAATGAATAAACGATGCGAAGAAATTGTTTTGAAAAGCGTGAATTAAGTGCGCAACTAGCATGGAACATTTTTTAGATTGCTATTTGGATAATTTCAAAGAAGCTCCTAGAAACAGTTTGTACGACAGAAGAACGAGGAAAGCCATGGTGGAGTATATAAACACTTTGATCGAGGGCTGTTCTGCAGGTAACGAATAGGCTAGAAGTTGTCAGTTCGCACGGAAAAAATCAATGTCTTATTAGATTGAGTATACGAATATTAATTTACAAAAAAGGCTGATAAGTAATACCGAATCGGCCCCAGAAAGGAATCGGGTTCATCATTTCAGGAAATATTTGTACCCATAAAATACTTCGATACAGCAAATTTCAGATTTTTATATACAGGGTGGCGCCCGTCATACGCCGCGGAGACTCCAAGGAGAACGACAGTTTGTATTGAAATGAAATACATAATTATAACCTAACCTAACCCTATATAATAATTTATTTTCGGATTTTGCGAGAAAAATAAAGGTGAGTTTTATAAGAGGAGTAATATCACTAAAATGTAAGGTTTTTGACATATTTAACATTTTCTAGAAATAAATTACACTATTTAAATTAAAATAAAAGCTACCTAAATTGGAATTTACCCGGTATAGCCAAATATGTAATTAAATTAACAATTGTGCCTTAAATCAAATTAAAACCTGCTCAAAAAATTGATACAGGGTGAGACAAAATTAATATTAAACATTGGTCACCTTTAAAAGCATGTTACTCTTTTATTTTAAATGGAACACCCAGTATATTATTCCGATATTCAAAGAAAAATTCATGTCTCTTCAAAATACTATTAAGGTTACCTACTCCTCAAACAAAGATTTTCCTAGATATTTTCATTTACATGATTTGATCTAAGTAGATCTTTATTATTTTATAAAATCTAGGTGGCTGTAATATGTCCGACTTTACTTCAACATAGCTGTCTAATCATTGGCGTAACTACAGGGGGGCCCAGGTACTACTGGGCACCCCCCAGAGGAATCCTGAACTATGACTCTTGGCTACGTATTAATTTTTATTTGCTTGTGATGCAGTAAAAATGACGTTTCTAGTTTTATTTAGTTAATATTATTTTGTTGTGTTCAAAAAATGTGCTAGTTTTTATTTTTTTAGAAAATTTGTAGGTATTTAAGTAATCTACGGGATAACCTAGTCTATGAAAGTTATTGATAGAGAAATTCATGTAAACGTTTTATTCAAAAAATGTGTTTTTAAAATTATTTTTCAATTTAAAAAAAAACAAAAGCCCTAGGCCCCCTCTGGGCTCAGCCCCAGGCCCCATTAACAGAATACTTAAATGCTCCTGTTCTTATCTAGTCTGTTTTTTTTTGGGAGGGGGGGGGGGATATGTTAAAGACAATGTTTACAAAGCTCGACCAACTATTGTCGACAACATGAGAGAAATTATTTTAGCTGCTTTTCGAGATAGAACTCCACATTTGCCTTTTAAAATGAAAAGATCCTTTTGAAAAGACAATCATTTTATGCAGTTAACAGGAAAGGAAGCATTTTGAGCATTTGATTTTATTTAGCTAATTTTTGCACATAATTATAGGTTTTTATCTAATTTTAATTCTGTAATAATTAAAATATGTTTTAAACGTGTATCTTTTTATTACCGTTGTGTATTTTACTCTATATAATCTTTAATTTTTGTTAAATTAACAAAAGGTATATCACACAGCCACCGTAAATTTTTTCAAATAATACATCTTAAAAATATTTTGAAGATATGTAAATTCCTCATTGAACACCGGAAAAATATACTGGGTGCCATTTAAAATAAAGAAGTAACTTGCTTTTAAAAGTGACTATATTAATTTTGTCTCTCTATAATAACTTTTCGGGTCAAATTTCAATTTGGTTTAACATACAATGGTTACTGTAATTAAATATCAGGCTATACATAGCCAACTAAAATTTAGGTAGCCAGGGCCGGATCTACCTAAGGGCTACTTGGGCTGCAGCCCAGGGCCCCGAGGTTACAAGGGGCCCCCAGACCCCGCTAAAAACAATAGGCGATAATTTGAGTTTAAAAAAAATCTAAATTAAAAAAAACTACCATAATTTTTAATTACTGCACTCATTACAAAGTATTCACGTATTCAAATGCAACGATTCTCTCGTTCACTGTTTATTTATCAGAAAACTATCAAGTTCATTGTTTATTTTCAGAAAAAAATCAAAGTCTTAATTTACAATAATGTCTGGTCGAAAGTATAAAAGTGGAGCTGAGAAACGCAAATTACAGCTAGATTGAGAAAAAGAAAGAAAAAAATGTGCAAAAATTGGGACTTTTTTCAAATCAAAACATAAAAACGAGGACGAACTCGCTGAAAATTCATCAACAAGCGCCAAGGAAGGGATCTTATCTGAAGAGAATCTATTTGAAGGGAGTAGCAAATCGCAACACCAAGAAAAAAAGACAAATGATGAAAATGTGCAAAGTTTTGACTACCAGCAACCCTCTTATCAAACGGAAAACGATATTGGTGTTCAGCGACAGGATGGTAACACAAACACGGAGACAGAGACACGGATTTAGTGAATACCTATTAATTTTAAGTTTGAGAAATATGTTGAGGTGGGCTGGTGGCCAGAATTGCTAAATAATGATTTAATGACATCCTCTCACATAAAATGACTGACTTTCAAAATAAAAATCCAAAAAATATATATTCAGCTTCTATAAAGAAATACAAGGAACAAAACAGAGCATTTTCAAATAGCCATTTCACTAAAAAATGAAAAATGGTCAATCACTGGAAAGATCTTGGCTAACATATTCAACCAGTGTTTGTGCTGTTTTTTGTTTGCCTTGCAAACTTTTTTTTTAACCTCTTCTCAATACACATCTGGAATTTCTGATTGGAAACACATAGGAACTTGTTTAGAAACCCACGAAAATTCTAATGAACATAAGAAATCAATGTTAGTGTGGTTGACACGAAACGAAAATAAATCTGTTTTAGGCAAGCAGTTTCAGGAGTAATTAAGAAAAGAAATATATTATTATCAGAATGTCCAAAAACGGGTAATTGTAGTGGTAAAATTTTTGAGTATAAGAGGCTTAGCATTTAGAGGTTCTGAGGAGGTATTTGGTTCTCCACATAATGGTAATTTTATGAGGAGTCTGGAGCTATTGGCAGAGTTCGATCCATTCATTCGTGAACAGATTGAATATCGGGAGCTGCCACCAAAACCGATAATATCGTACTTATCAAAAAGACACAAAGACACAAAATATTATTCAACTGTGATGGATTCTACACCAGATCTGTCTCACAATGATCTGTCTCACAACTTGCTATTGTATTACGATACTGTTTTCGGGGAAAAGTATATGAAAGATGTGTAGCCTTCATTAAAATTAGTAGTCATACTGCCTTACATTTATTTAATATTCTACGAGACTTTATAGAAACAAATAGATTACTACTGAGGGGGCAATCTTATGACAACGCTGCCGCTGCCAATATAGCGGGTCGCTACAATGTTTGGTTTGGCATCAGTGTTGTTACAATAGGTACAATTGTACTATTTTGGGTACATTTGATAGTCAAGGAGTACATAGGTACAATTGCAAGAAAAAATGTACAATTCTTACTTCTCAAACCAAAACTTAAACCCACGTACATATTTTTAGACGAACGGTGATACGCGATGCGTGGATTTGAAATGCAGGTTGCTAGGAGCAGAGGCACAGAATTATACAGTACGTCTGTCCGTTCTGTGGCTACGGGGTATCCGTGAGAGGGTAAACGATATTCTCTCGATGTTTTTCGTAAAAAATTAGACAACGCGTCTCATCAATAAAAATTTGACAATTTTGCAAGTAGCCAATAAAATGAGTGGGCGGAGCGATTTGCGGTGACGTCTCGTCAAGTCGACGTATAAAATATATTGTTATTTATTTAAATATTTTTTGTCCGCATTCCTTTCATAGACACAGATCCAGTAGATGTACTGTACATCACTTGAAATGCTGTTCAAGCCGCACGGATGTCGAACGTAAGTTTCATATCCATGCGGTGAGTAGGAGGGGGGCTAATCACTGGCGACCTTAGAGATCTATTGTGTCCCGATGTCAAACGTGACGTCACGCAATTAGTTCCCATTTAACCAATGCTATTCAAAGCTCTTTGTAGCTTCTGTATTGCTGTCCTCCATTTGCGAATTTCAAGTTCCAGAGCTTTACGCCCTGGGCTGCTCAGAACGGTTCTGAAAGGAGCTGTGCGAGATAGCCTGGTGCCTCCATATGGCGCGGAACCAGTTCTGAACTTTATGACTCAATTGAATGGAGGGAGAGTATCGCGTTCTTGAACAGTTCAGAGCTGCTCAACTGCGTGAAAGGAGGACAGCATATGGTGTATAATTCTGTGAGGGTGCATCCACATTATCCTAAAAAAAGCGGATCGGCGTAACGACCTTGAATCGATTTCCAGCAATTCTATTGGCTGAAAAATTCATCTGTCAGAAATTTTATCTGTCAAATTCACCTGGCAAAAATTTCAGCCAATAGAATTGCAGGAAATCGATTCAAGGTCGTTAAGCCAATACGCCGTTCGGCTGTTTTTAGGATAGTGTGGATGCACCCTACGTACCAAAACTTGGTAAAAAGGTAAATAGGGAGATCACATGACCCCACATTTTTGAACCAAAAATGTACAATCCCACTTAAAAAAGTACAATTTCGACACCATTTATAGTACAAAAGTTTTTGCCCTTGTAACAACGCTGTTTGGCATGGCTATAATTGAGTACTTAGGTAGGCCCCTAAGTAGTTTCAGCCCAGGGTCCCACAAATTCACGATCCGCCTCTGTAGGTAGCTGTTACCGAAATTTAAAATTTACTCTTCATTTTCACAAAATGTGAAATATGTCAAAATCCTTAGATTTTGGGTATATGCTTCTTTGATAAAACTCACCTTTATTTTTTTCCTAGAATCCGAAAATCAATTAATATATAGGGAATTATTATTATTAGAAAAAAATACAACTTTGATTTGTAACTTTTTTTTAGTGATACTTTGTATAATTCTATATATTTTTATAAAATGCTTTCAGTTAACCTATATATGCTGCCAACATTTAATTTCGATATAAATTACCGTTCTCCTCAGAGCTTCCGCGAAGTAT